CAACGAACCAAGGAACCAGGAGGCGAGCAACAACAATTGTATGTTAGCAAAAAAAAAAAAAAAAAAAAAAAAAAAAAAAACAACGAAGCAGCGATAGAAGCAGCGATCTTCGTCTCCACATCCCATCTCCCCGTCCCATCTCCCCATCTCATCTCCCGTCAGAACTGTTGGGAGCGATCTTCATCTCCCCATTTGATCTCCCATCGCAACTGTGTTGGGGATACAAGCATCGAAGCAGCGATAGAAGCAAATATCTTCATCTTCCCATCCCATCTCCCCATATAAGCAGCGATCGGAGCAGCAATCGAACCAGCAGGCGAGTAACAGCTAGTGTCTGTTAGCAAAAAAAGAAAAAGGAAAAGAACGTTTAGAAGATTGGGGAGCAATCAGGCAATTTCCACGCACCTTTGCTTGCCATGGAGGACTGCCAACAGCGTGCCAACTGCAATGCAAGATCGTGCACGTGCCGAATGTACGCGCTTGGTATGGTAGCTCCCGCAACTTGGATTGGGGGGAGAAAGATGTGGAAGCCTTCGACTGCACGATGGGAGTGGCTGAACAGGAGTCCAAAGATTTCCCCCGCACCCGCAATGGACACAGAATTGTATGGGAGTGGCTGAACAGGAGTCCAAAGATTCCCCCCGCACCCGCAATGGAAACAGAATTGTTGGGGCAATCACGAAAGTGTCGGGTCGATGTGCAGTTCTCGACTGCAGTGTTGCCGTCATCACTGTTCAGGAGCAATGGAACAGCTGTCCACGAAACCCTCAGCAAGGCATGTTTTCCTGCCGAAAAATACGGGAAAAAAAACAGATGTCAAGCCTTCGACTGCAGGCTTCCCCGTAGCCACGATGGGAGTGGCTGAACAGGATTCCACAGATTACCCTCGCGCCCGCAATGGAAACAGAATTGCTGGGGCAATCACGAAAAATGTCGGGTCGATGTGCAGTTTTCGGCTGCAGTGTTGCCATCACCACTGTTGAGGAGCAATGGAGCAGCAGTCCATGAAACCCTCATCAAGGCACGGTTTCCTGCCGAAAAAAACGAAAAAAAAAAGGTCGGGCCCGACTCTGGAAACCGCTAAAACGGGCCACGTTCTAAGCCCTCTTCTCCCCCCGGCCCCCGCAAGGCCCAACACATGACAAAATGGGCCGAATTCGTCAAACGGGAGGAAAAAAGAAAACAGGCCTGGTCCAACCCCCCAACCCGAATTATATTTTTTTCTCCGGGTCGGGGCGTGGCCCGGTGCCAGTTCCTCACCATTTTGCGGTTGGCCCGAAAAAAAAAAAAAAAAAAACGGCGGGAAAAAGTTAGTCCTCGTGCCACGTTCTCTCGTTTGTTTTGCATGGGAGGGTAAAATGTGTTGTCGCCATCGCTCGCGCCTCTGCCTCACCCGCGTCGTGCACTGCTCGTGCGTTATCGCCACTGCTCTCGCGCCAAACCCAGCTCCGTGTCACACACATCGTCCGCGCCAATCATTCCACTCGACTTGGGGCAAGGGTGCAGCACGGCCATTGCACCTGGCCTGTCATCACGCATCAGGCAGGGAGCAACTGCTAAAGAGGTGCGCAGACAAAACTTCGTTTTTCGGACCTTTTTCCCTTCTCTGACTTCCTTCGACTTATGTCACCACGTGTTTTCTGTTTTCAGTCATGTGGAAGATGCCTCTTTGTCAGTTTTCGTTTTTTTTTTTATATTTTCTTGTCCCTTGGACGGTGGACAAAACACCTGCATGGAAACTTCGTGGGTGGTGTCGCAAAAAATCTCCTTCGTTTGTTTCGGCGAGACATTCCTTTCCATAAAAAGTTCCTTGCGGTTAGTGGTTTTGGGAACCCGTGGAAACTGCATCTTTGATGCCTTGGGTGTCGCATGGCGGGTTTCCATTTAGTCATTTCATGTCGGTGGATTTCGTGGACCTTTTTATAAAAGTTGTTACTTTTTCATTATGGATTTTCTATTTTTTCTTCTTGTTTGTGTTCGCCTTGCTTTTTTGGTGACTGGAAATACGGAACTGCACGGTGTGCGGGATATCGCCGAATGGATAGAATGATTTTAATCTCTGGATAGTGCGTAATAGTACTAAAATGGTTGTGCGGCACAGTTGAAAACAGCCTTGATCACATTGGCAGCTGACACGACCGAGTGTTTCGTCAGGGGCGGCAGGGAGAAAAGCTCCTTCGTGCATGCACTTGACGTGCCACCCTCTGCACGTCATGTTCCTTACCGCACTTTGGCGACATCGTTTCCATACTTAAAAATGTCCCATCGTGCATGCAAATGCTCGTGTCTGCACATCGCGCGCCACCCTGTGCACGTCGTGTTTGTTTGCCCACGTTTGTTGGTCGTGACCACATTGCCATCCGATTGGCGGACAGGGTGTAAGGCGAGAAGATTGATGGCGAGAACAGTGGATGGCGAGAACAGTGGATGGTGAGAACAGTGGGGCGGGAAGGGTGCATGGTCGGAAGCCTTGATGGCGGGAAGGGCGGGTGACAGCCTTGATGGCGAGAAGAGCGGATGGCGAGGGGAGTGAATGGCGGGAAGAGTGGATGGCGAGAAGAGTGGATGGCGGGAAAGGTGGGTGACAACCTTGATGGCGGGAAAGGTGGACGGAAGCCTTTATGGCGAGAAGAGTGGATGGCGAGAAGAGAAGGGCGGATGCCTTGATGCCGGGAAGGGTGCGGCGGAAAGATGTATGGTGTGGGTTCGCGTTCAAACCCGACCATCGGATGGCGGGAAGGGTGCGTTGAAGCCCGACCATCGGATGGTGGGGTGTCTCATGAAGCCTGACCATCAAATGGTGGGGTGTCTCGTTGAAGCCTGACCATCGGATGGTGGGGTGTCACGTTGAAGCCCGACCATCGGATGGTGGGGTGTCGCGTTGAAGCCCGACCATCGGATGGTGGGGTGTCGCGTTGAAGCCCGACCATCGGATGGCAAGATGATGGCGACACGGTCGGACAGTAGTGTGGCCGGATATTCGAAGGTTCGAGGTTCAGGTGAGGGTGGTCGGATGGCAGTATGGTTGGACAGCCGAATGGTCCGACGGGCGGACTGCAAAATTGTTGGCCGGTGGGCTGGTCGGGTGGTCGGATGGCAGGATGGTTGGCTGCTCGGTCGGATGGTCGGATGGTCGGTCGTTTGTGCCTTGCGGTTCAACTCAGGCTCGTCGGCTGCCGGGATGATTGGACAGTCGGATGATCGGACGGTCGGATTGTAAAATTGTTCGAAGGCGGGATGGTCGGACGGTCGGAAGGGAAGATGGTCGGCTGGCAGGATGGTTGGACGGGCAGGTTGGTGGGATGCTGGGATAGGAGGATGTTCGGATGGTAGGACAGTCCGGTGGCCGGATGGCAGGACGACGGTTCAGGGTCTAGGGTTCAGGGTTCAAGGTCGGGTCCGATTCCCTGGATGGTGTAGGGTTTAGGGTTCTGGGCGGGTCGCGGGATGGCAGGATGGTCGGATCGTCGGGTGGTCGGGTTGCAGGACGTCGGGAAGGTCGCATGGTTGGACGGTCGATCGTGTGTGGTTCAGGGTCTAGGGTTTAGGGTTCAAGGTCGGGTCCGAATCCCTGGACGGTGTGGGGTTTAGGGTTCTGGTCGGGTGGCGGGATGGCAGGATGGTTGGATGGTCGGGTGGTCCGATTGCAGGACGTCGGGAAGGTCGCATGGTTGGACGGTCGATCGTGTGCGGCTCAGGGTCTAGGGTTTAGGGTTCATGGTCAGGTCCGCCTCCCTGGATGGTGTAGGGTTTAGGGTTCTGGTCGGGTCGGGCTCCGCGGGTGGTCGGATGGTCTGGTGGGCGGATGGTCGGGTGGCGAGATGGCGGGATGGAAGGATGGCAAAATGGCAGGAAGGCAGGATGGTGGGATGATGGGGTGGCACGATGGCAGAATGGCAGGACGGGGTTCAAGGTCTAGGGTTTAGGTTTCAAGGTCGGGTCCGCCTCCCTAGATGGTGTAGGGTTTAGGGTTCTGGTCGATTGGTCGGATGGTCGAATGGTCGATTGGTCGGATGGTGGAATGGTCGGATGGTCGATTGGTCGGATGGTCGATTGGTCGGATGTTCGGATGGTCGATTGGTCGGATGGTGGAATGGCAGGAAGGTCGGATGGTCGGACGGTCCAATGCATGCTCGGACACACGGTGGGTGGTGGTTCGGGCTCTAGGGTTGAAGGCCAGATGGCAGGATGGCAGGATGGCAGGAAGGTCGAATGGCAGGAATGTCGGATGGCAGGAAGGCCGGATAGCAGGAAGGTCGGATGGCAAGATGTTTGGATGGCAAGATGCGAGGATGGCGGGATGTTTGGATGGCAGGACTGTAGGATGGTAGGGCGCTCGGATGGCAGGACGGTGGGGTGGTCGGATGGCATGATGGTCGGTTGGTCCGGTGGCGGGCAGGCAGGAAGGTTGGATGGTCGGGTGTT